TTAAATGACTCAAGGCTAGTTGATTCCAAAATTTTATTCTAAATGGAGTTTTGCAAAGTATTTATTGTTAATATTTCCAAGACAACAATGCTATAAATAAGTTTGATTAAAGTCTTACGTGGATCTTTTAGAATTAATTTAGAATCTACAATGATTTGTTTTTAAAGGCATAATTATGCATATGTAGTTCATAAATATCAATATGAGAAATAACAATGAAATAAAACAAGTTATTCTTATAAACAGAAATACCATATTCAATAAATGTAGGTTCATATAACTATTATATCTCAAAAAGAAAACTAAAACTGTTTTTACACTAATGTTCAGAGCATAATAACATTCATCTAAAGTAAGAATGATACCACATGGTAACTTCAACTCACAACTTGATGTGTTCCCTAACGTAGAGGATCGAGCACTTCTGTTTCTAGAGGCCCATGATCGAGTAACAAAAAATGGTTTCACAAAAAATGGCCTTAACTAGGCCAACTAAGTTGAAGAGTCTTCATAATTAGCCAATTAAATGCTTCCATAATGGGTCTTTATTGGTCTAATAATAGGTCTTTAATATTTATTTAATTGCTTTACACTTTTTTTCCATGAATTATGTTCTAAGCCATATAAATAGGTCTTTAATAAAAAAACTTTATTTTTCTTCCAAAATTTTGTGTGTTAAAAACTAGATTTTGAAGCTCAATTATATGGTATTCGTAGAATCAATGTGGTCTGGTATAGATTATCATGAGTATTATGTAAGAATCAACAAGTTTATCTTTGTTCATTTGTATGTTGCATCACAAGTTCAAGTCGTGTTTGTTTAGTTTCTTGCTTCTTCTAAATCCTTGTACATCAAATATTCAAAATTATAGGCAATCATATATTTTTATCACATAGATTGATAAGTATATACATGACTTGTTGGACGTTTAAGCTTTGCTTCTTTTTTTTCGATTATCTATTCGGGTCAATTCTTCTTTGAAACTCTAATTTCACAACAATTATAACAATTGGCAAAATAGGAAAAAGATTAAAAAAAACAAGGATGACTTAATCATAAATAAGAACCGATGATTTTTTTCTTTAAAAAAATTATAATGGTTTTTATAAATGATCTTCTCATCTATTGGTTTTTATAAATGATCTTCTCATCTATCGACTTGTTTAGGGCCTTATTTTCAAAATCAAGATTTAAAGATATATGCACATGTTTATAATCAAATAAAATAAGGTTAATTCATATATAAAAAAAAAAAAAAAAAACTTTGTTTTTTCTTCCGAATCAAACCTCAACTTTATTTTTATTTTTTTCTAAAAAATACTTTGTATTTTTTTTCATTTTTTCCGAAAAACTCTCAACTTTGTCTTTTTTTTTTCAAAAAACCCTCAAATGTTTCTGAAAAACCCCTCAAGTTTTTAAATTTTTTCCAAAAAAAAAACACTCACATTTTACAAGTTTTTTTCAGGAAAAAAATGACTAAAATGGCCGGATGGAAAAAAAATACAAAGTTTTTTTTCAGGAAAAAAAATAAAATTGAGATTTAATCGGAAAAAAAAACACAAAATATAAGGTTTTTTTTTATGAGATTACCAAAAAAACCTTATCATTAAAGAAAAACTTATGAAATTATGAAATAACTACATTTTTTTAAGAGCACCAAATTTATATTAACCAAAAAAGCTAGCTAGAAACTAGCATAAACAAAAAGGATGATGACTTAAAAGGGTAATATATTTTTTGATTTGTACACATTTGGTTACTGAGTTTTTTCGTCCACATTTAGCCCCTGAACTTGTTAAAATTTACACATTCAGTGCTTATGACGGGCTACTGCAGGTAAGCCGAGAAAAATGACTTCAAAGGGTAATGTATTTCTCACTTTGTACATATTTAGTCCTTAATATTTTTTTGCACATTTAGTCCTTAATATTTTTTTTTATTGCAAAATAATTTTTTGTTGTTTTTGTACACATTCAAAACTTAGGACTGATTTCTTTAGGTTTTTCTCACGTCATCCTACGTGAGATAACTATAATGAGTGTTGGAGCTATTGATGCTTATGTCCATCGCGATATGGGCTGCTTGGTTGCTTATGTCTTGTGTTCTGAACGTCGTAACTTCTACATACGATCTCAGATTTTAACGATCGTTATATCCACACATTTGTATTTGAGTCTACTACAACTTTCGTTAAGATTATTCCCGTTAAAAAATAATATATTTTTACTTACAATTTTATAAAAAAACATTCATAAATTCACAAAGAATGCATGGATATAAACGTCTTTTTATAAAAAGTAATATATTTTTTTACTTACGATCTTTATGTCCATGCGTTCTTTATGAATGTATGTATGAATATTTTTTTTATAAAACCGTACTTTAACGAAAGTTGTAGTAGCATACGAATACGTGGATATAATGATCGTTAAAATCTGAGATTGTATGAAGAAATTATGACATTCATAACACCAAACCTAAGCTAAACCACAAGACCTAAGAAACTAAGTAGCGTAAGCCGCGATGGACATACACACAACAATCCAAACCGGTCCTAAGGACTGAATTTGTACAATTTAATAAGTTGAATGGATAAATATGGGCGAAAAAAAACTTGATGACCAAATATATATACAAATCAATTTATATTACACTTTTAAATCATTCTCCCCTAAACAAAATTAAGGAAAGATTGGATTATGCAATCAAAATTCCTATTGATCCTAACCATTGAAATAAGTACATTAGTTTATCATTATATTAAAACTAGGCAAATAGCCGCGCGTTGCGCAACGTAAAATTACATACTTAAAATTTTGACAAATAAATATTAATATATGTTATTGATATTTATATCATAATACCTTTCATATTTTACCCTACTATTTCATGTTATTTAAAATACAACGTTTTCATTTTTAGAAATATATTAATGTTGTTTTTTTTTGTATTTGATGGGTTCTTTTCTATCAAAGCCAAAACATCCAACAAATACTACGAAATCTATGTTTGTTTATCACCACACAACTCTACTTCTCTGGTTCAATCCCGATTACGCTACTGCAAATGCACAAAGTGACATTCATATCCATTAATATCGATTAAGTAAATAATGTGATACTTATTATTTGTTAAATGCATATCGATGCATCATATTAATTTTCATATTCCAACATCAGTAAACTAAAACCACATAGGCATAGTCTGGATACCAACATCTAATTTCCATTAGAGACTAATAGAAACACACCCATGCCACACAAATGCTTGGTTCAGACTAAATGTATATATACAAAAAAATGAAAGCTAAAATGATTACATTCTCATGACTTGAAAAGGAGCATGTCGACTCATTGGTATCGGTTAATACCAGTACAACATTAAAATATGCACGACCTGCCTTTAGTTCACATGTGATATTTTATAGGATCAAATAGGAAATCATGACTTTAGTGGAAACTAAGACCAATTGACATGTAAAACAATTTATATGTAGCAATACATTTGCTAATATGACTTCATATTTTCCAATATCTTCTAGGGTTCAATAAATCCACCTTGTGATGCCAATGATGAATATTTCACTGTTTTCCATCTTTTTTTATATTCTTAGATATTAAAATGGTTTTAACAAAAAAAATTTGAAGAAAAATAGAAGTTCTTACACGCATGGATACATATGGAAGTGTCAAATAGTGAAGGTAGAGATAATTTCCATTGTTGAAGGAATGATGATGAAAACCGAATCTATTCAAATAATTTAAAATGCTCAGCAAGATTTGTTTGTGTGTGCGTGAGTCAAATATTAATTTAGTACCTGTAGTGAATGGAATTAAGTGCATCTTTATGCAAAAGTTTTTACTTTGAATATAACATGTGACATACCAGAAGCAACCACACATTGAACAGTTGGTAAAAACAAATATATATATATATATATATATATATATATATATATATATATATATATATATAATATATATTGAAATTTGTATGAAAAGCAATACACACATAAAAGTCTTTTTTCCTTCTTTAAAGGTCCTTAATCCTTGCAGAATATGACAAAGATGTTCCTATTATTCATCGTATTTATACTTGGTCTTGTTATGTTTGATGTTGTTTATGTTATTTTTACATTAAAGAACCAATTAATAATTATTATTAAAAAGTCTTTTGAGTGGTATTAATTAAATTATGAGGTTTCAAATGCATAATAATCAAGGAAATCAAATTAGAGAGTTTCAAATGCATAAGAATCAAGGAAAAATGCTTCTTTTATAAGTATGTATGATTTCTAATAACTACTAAATATATCAAAATTAGAGCTTTTATAGCTTTATATAGCAACTTTATAACTTTATATAGCAACTTCGTGTTTTTTCTTTTAACTTTTATATAAAATAAAAGATCATATTTTTAATGATATTAAATAATTAGAAAAAAAAAATTATAGTTGATACTTACAGAATTTTATATCATTTTTCAAAGTTGTTGAGTTGTTGGCAGCCGTTCAATTATGAACATGCAACCGCCACTGTCGTCTCTTCCATACATCTGAAGCAACCGAAACCAATCGCCATTGAAACTCAGCTTCCCCATCTCTACACCTAATGAACGCGACCAACTTGGACCCACAAATGTCGCCCCTTTACTTAATCTCTCTCCTTCCCCGCGCTTTTCGCCATTTCCAAATTCCAAAAAACTCTGATTCACTCAATTTCAATCGGAATTGGAAGAGAGAAAGGGGGAATCAACCACCTGCAATTCCATCTTCTTTTTCCAAAAAATTGGGTCTGATTCGTTTTGTTGTTGTCTCAATTCTCTGAAAAATTTCTCCCTTCGTTTTGTGCCCTAACTTCTACCCTCCGTCGTGAAGGGGTGATTGATTTCCCCCCTTCTCGAATTTCAAACCCTTTTCTTCTGCCAAGGTTCATCTGCGTCTCCCCGAAATTTGTCGACTTTGTTTGATGGGTTTTGGGGAGTCACATTAAATCTTAAAATGGGTTGCATCAATTCAAAGAACGTTGCAAGGTCTTGTAAATCCCCAATTCGCGATCATTCATTGCTCATTCACGATGATGATCGTTCTTCGGCTTCTTCGTCTTCCACAAACTCGTCTGATTCGTTAACGTTGCAGAAGTCTAATAATAATCATTATAATTATAATCATGGGTTTGAGCCATTGGAGAAGATCAAAGAGGAAACAGAAGATGATAAAACCAGTGTCGGATCTGTTAGTGTTCGCGACAATATTCAGAAAAATGGTGATGAATCTTTGAATACACGTTCGTGTAGTAAGTTTTCAAAAAAATTTGGGTTGAACAGCATTAGGTTTGGAAGACCAGCGGCTGGTGAACAGGTTGCCGCCGGTTGGCCTGCTTGGCTTAGTGCTGTTGCCGGTGAAGCCATTGAAGGTTGGGTGCCATTGAAATCCGAGAACTTTGAGAAGTTAGATAAGGTAATACTGTTTTTAACTGCATCTAATTTCGATATTAATTTGAATGCCTCTATTTAACTTTACATAAACTTTAACAAATTCTTTGAAATTTAAAATGTAATATATCATGAGATTGAAATATTCGAAGATTTTGATTATTTAAAGAATTAGAAGATAATATATGAAATTTTGATATATTATTGAATTAATTAAAAGTAAATTTACAAAAAATATATATATGTAATTAGAATATTATTTTGTAATAACAAATCTAATATAAACATAAACTATTTTTAAATCCAATATGTGTACATCGAGACTTGTAACTCAACCTCATGAACGGAAGACATCTAATACCATTGATTCATAAACCCTTTAAGCCCTTTTGGTCCATTATTAGAAGAATACTTATTTGTGTTATTAATACTAAATTGACTATCAAAAACTAATAATGCGTCCATTAGATTGGGCTTATTCGTACAATTTTTTTCTGAAAGTTTTTAGTTCTTAACTTTTAATAAAAAATGAAAAACTTTGTTCAAATAGCTTTTGTGAACTTTTATTTTTGGTTTTTATATAATTTCGCATCTTTGAAAGTTAAAAGCTACCTTTGACGAACTTTTTTGTACAAATAAAAGTTGTAGCTGGTACTAGCTACCTACTATTTCTTCTAAACAGGTCCAAAATAAAATGATTCACTTTTTTCTAAACATATATTTTGCTTAAGTATCTACATCATTAAAAAATAGTAATCACATAAGAAAGTGTATATCCTAGCCTAAAAAACCAAAATTCTATTGAGAACGAATATTTGTACTTGTTGACTCTCATACGAAACAAAGATCGAAAATATTGAAATAAAAAAACAATTTTTCACAACCATTGATGAAGGATTTCTCATAAATTTAAGGATTAGTAATTTTTTAGAAATCGAATAGATTCGAACTAGTACATATCCTAGGAAGGTAATTAAAAAGAGAAGGAAAATGAGTTCTTTCTTTTATTACGTAGGAGTCATGTGATATGAAGTCTCATGCTCGATTTTGAATGCGAGAAATAAGTGAGGAATCTCACTTTCAATTTAACTTTTCCATTCTAGTCGTTGCTTTTCTTTTTGTTACTTCGAAAGTAGTTGCTTAGTTTCAGCCACTCGAATTTTCAGTACTCCTTTTTATTTATCATCACACGAATTCTGAAAATCCTAGTTATTCTTAGCATGGTATCGTAGAATCACAATGCTATTATTGAAGACTCAAATGATGGATATGCAAGCATGATACCTTAAATGTTGTTATATCTCCCTGAATATGAAAACTTTTGTTTTTGTTTGTATTGTCTTATTTGGACTAGGTATAGAACTAAGAACATTCGAGATTAGCATGATTATACGTGAAAGATCCTTTTGACTCTCTTTTAGCCCTATGTTTCTTATCCCTAGGAGGTCTTCCTCCACTACGAGGTTTTCTCAGAAAACTTTGTTTATTTTGGTATGGGTGTTGACATGCCTATAAAGTTTTAGTTTTAACAGGAATCCTTACAAGCATTGTGTGTGTGTGTCTATATATATATATATATATATATATATATATATATATAGAGAGAGAGAGAGAGATTCAAATGTTTCTCACATCTATTGTGTGCTAGAATGCGCAAATAAGAATTTAGTAAAAAATAAATTATTATTTAATAAAAAAATAGATATTAAAGGATTTCCATAATTATATGTATATTAAATGATCTCCATAATTATAATTTCTTTTTTATGGAAACTAATAAATTCGTCATTAATATAGCAATGATATTCTTTCAAAATGAATTCGCATCTAGTTTTTCATGTATGGGTTCATATTTTGTTTTCATGACTCACTCACTCAAAATACAACAAATATGCTTGGAACATGAAGAACGAGAGTGTATTCTAATAGAATGAGAGTTTATTCTAGAAGAATGAAAGTATATTCTAATAAAATGAGAGTGTATTCTAGTAGAATACACTCATTTTCTTTATATTTCATGCAATTTTATTGTATTTTAAATGAGTGGACCCATAAACAAAACACAAACTCATACTTCATTATGAAATAATGTTATTCCTGATATTAATGACGAATTTAATTAGTTTCCATAAAAAAAGAGTTATAATTATGGATATCATTTAATATATACATACAATTATGGAAATAATTTAATATTTATCGTTATTTAATTAAATAATTATTTAATTTACTAAATTCCTATTGGTGCATTCTAGCACACAATAAATATAAAGAAAACAAATGAATATATATATATATATATATATATATATATATATATATATATATATATATATATATATATAAACAATAAAGTTATCAATGACTAGGCAAAACCAAGAAAGATCCGTATTAAGATCAAACAGTTCCATCAAATTGTGTATTATTATATGTATGATAGCATCTATATTCGAAGAATATTAATGAATATGACTATTCTAATAATATCCAACCAAAATGGCCATTATGCTACTAACCAAAAATGGAATTGTTGCACAAAATTGATTTTGGAATTTTTAACATTCTTTAAAAAGTTACCCTTAATAGTACAATTAAAACATCACAGAAAAAAAATTTGGGTTTTATACGAAATATTTGAAGTACAAGAAATAAATACCATTTAGGTAATATTGTCAGAGGTGTTGCCAACGGATAAGTCAGCTCACCTAATTGGTGGTTCTAGAGCGGTTAAACCTTCGTTACATGCAAATGTACCTAGAATTATTGCCAGAAATATATATGAAAGATTGTTGGGCCATACGGACTCCCATAATAATTATAACTCATGCCTTTAGCTAATTTTGTTCTTAATACCATGATAATTTTCCATCATCTAGCTCGAGCAAGAATCAAAAGAAGCAAATGAATCCATAAAAATATTTGGTATTTAAACACCCACATATAAGATATATATATATATATATATATATATATATATATATATATATATATATATATATATGAATGGTTTTATGTAAATAGGATACAAGTTTTATTGGTTTTTTACTTTTTTTTGTCTGTTGAAACTATCAGAGTGCAAAAAATTCGATCAATACAAATAAACACTTACTACCCACCCATGCAGGTTTATAAAATAGATTGATATGATCAATTGATTTATAATGAATGTGAATGTGTCTCGCAACTAAGAATAATCCAGGGACATTTCAGTTTTGGATCTAGGACATTAGGTTCAAGAAATAAGAAAAGTAAGCATACCCAACATAAAGACTTATCCAATCTATAATTATGTACCTGAAAATACAAGATTTTTGTTACTGACCAACCACGAGGAGAAGCAAATTCAATGAGTAAGTTAACGAATAAAATTGATAAAGTAGCAACTCATTTAAAAATAGCCAATTGGAAAGTAAGAGTCATGTTTTTAATCCTCCAGGCTCACACATGAACTGTATCGTTTTGTCCATATTTCAACCAAAATTTATACTAAAATACATCATACATAGATTTTACCACGAATCCATTGATTCTATATAATTTTTGAATTATATTACTTCCCTTTACCATTTTATTCTTACATGGAGTCATGGAGGATGGAATTTGGTTTTTAGTTATACGAATGGACATGCTGGATCATATGTTTATCCATATATCGGGATCAGATTAACCATCAAACCCAATATCTTTGATAGTGGCGGTATCCTCTCATATGGCCATGTTTTATTCGAACGAATAAAATAAAATTGTCTTTCAGATATATCGTCGGCTTTGGTCTTGAAAATCGGTATTTTTTATTGCTTAGGGTTCAAATTCGTCGCGTGTTTTGTTTGTTAAATAAATGGTTTAACGGACTGGACAGGATGGTTTAATTATCATAACAATGTGGAAGTGACTTGTCTATCTTGCCTTACTAAGCCAAAAAAATGGAATAAATATTTATGAGTTGGAGAAATAAGAATATTCTTATGAAAATATCCGTATGTGTATAAGGGAACCAAAGTGACTCTTGTTTCAAGTATTTGATGTAACACTCAAAAATTTCAAGCCAAATTTGAACTTTTTTAAAAATATTTCAAACCATTTAAATCATTACAACTTTGTTTTCAAAATGTGTAACATCAGAGTTTTCCCAGAAACATAAACAAAACATGAGGAGCTGTACGATCATGCCTTCGCCTTGCCACGATCCCCTGATGTACCTGAAACAATAAACTGAAACTGTAAGTCCGATACTTAGTGAGTTCCCCCAAAATACTGATACACATACAATCCTCATAACCAGGTCAACAATATCATGACATAACAAACTAAACAGCATGCAATGGGTCCACAACTTATAGACTGGATTACCCCTGGGGCCACAGTGTGAGTCTGGATTGCCTTTCGGGCCCACAAGCTCACATTTGGCTTGCCATCGAGCCCACAGTACGAGTCTCCCTCAGCTCGTATCTGGAATGCTCCCGGGTTTGTTGGTTACCGCACGGAGCAGTATCACCTCAACCCATCCCACATAATATATCATCATAAAATATAATCAATGAGCATGCAGATAAACATATAACAAAACAGGTAGTCCTACCGATCTACCTAACTGGCATAACTACTAGCATGCAACACTAATCTCATACTCAACGTACTAACACTACTAGGATAACATATCCAATGGGCCGGCCTTGGTGCCTTAGAGCCCTTAGTAAAGTGAGGTAACTCACCTCATAAGTAGTGTTGAAATACTGCAGATCCCTGACTGCTGTCTCACCGGAAATCCCGAACTGACACATATTAATAAATACTAGGTTAATACCCAATATTACCACCCCCCCCCCCCCGGTGATTGAGTGTCCTCATAACTCATTAAGTCCATTCCCTTTTTGTCGGGCCAAAACCCCACACCAAGTCCTTTACTTGTAAGTCCATATCCACAAGTCCACTATTGGCCTAATTTATTAAATTGGGCCCAACCTCCTTATTGGGCCTAACCCCATGATTCGCCCCCACTAATTAACCCAAAACATCTTATTTACA